CATGGGCCGTGCTGATAAACACTCCGGCAAGGCACACCCAGAGCAGTCTTGTCCCTGTCTCTCCAACAAATGGCACTATCAATACAGCTGCTTTTTGCTTTATAGCAGATACTAAGGAGAGACTGCTTTAATTTCATTACTGTTTCTTCAAATTCATTTATTATTTGTGTTTTCTTCTTAGTTTAACAGTGAGACCACCTTTGTCTATTTATCTATAAAAATCTTTGAGGTTTTGGGGCTGCCAGGTGGCATGGTGTTTAGGGGCACTGGATTCCCACGTGGCCGACTATGGTTCAAGTCCCGGACCTGGCAGCTTGCTTTCTAGCTTTCCCTTTCTCTCTCTCTCTGGCCAAATTAAAAAATAACAAATGGAGTTAAATAAATAAATATATATTTTTTTGAGGTTTTACTAATGAATTTTAATTACTTTTATGATGAATATATAACCTTCCAGCTATAATATTTGAAGTCCAGAGCCCAGCTTATTAATAGTTTTTAGGATGGTAAGACAAAGGTGTAGCAGTAACACAATACTTTCAGAATGACCACATGGGAAGGTTCTGGGTTTGTGTCTGGGATACACAGGGCACATGTGTGCCCATGATCCAGGGCCGGCTAAGGCTGAAGACAGGTCAGGGTCAGGACCCTGTTGGGAGGTGCTGTCTATCTTGTCATAGAGGAAATAGATAAACTTAAAACAGAAAGACAGGGAGGGAGGGAGGAACATAAGTTTGCTTTTAAAATGGAAAAAAAAAACACTTTTGCATTCTAATGATTTTTTTCAAGTGGCTACTACACAAGATATATACACAGTAGGAAAACATAAAGACTTAAGTTCTTTCTATTCTTAGCCTAAATTAAACACAAACACTCCATCCCCACACCAATCTGCCTGTTTTAAAGAATACTGTTTTCAAACAAAATAAATACTTGATCTTGCTCTAGATTTTTTTCCCACTGGTGCCTTACAGTTTAAAAAAAAAAAAAAAAACAAGGAATCTAACAAGAGCCCCCAACATAATGTCAGGTTTGCTGTACATATCAGAAAACTTATGAACCTAAATACAAAACCCCCAAAATAAAGCGCCCCTGCTTCTTCCGCCAGAAAAAGAAAGTGGGAGATAGCACTGCTTTAACAAATTGTTTCAATGTCCAACTGAAAGAGGAAAATGAAAAACACACACTGGCTTATGTGAGGATGGAAAGAGTAATGGGAAATTTTTCTTTTCATTCATTCGTTCTTCCGTTGTTATTGCAACAAACCAGAAGTACACACAAGTAGGTACCTGAAGTCAGAGGCTCGCACTTACCCTCTTTGCTCGACTCTTTGGTCTCCTCCTTATACAGCGTTCCCATTTCTTTTTCCTTCTGGAAGCGGATCTGTAGCTGTTTGATCTCCTGGTCATAGTCCTGCCACTCTGGGACGATTCGCACGGCTGCTTCCAGCTTGGGCTCTTTGGTCATTGGATTATTACACTGAAAACCAAACACACCTTAGCCAAATCCAAGAAGGGTTTGCTAATGTAGAATACAAAGGTGTTTCTGTGCTTGGGTTACAGGTCCTAACTGTGCAAAAAGACCAAGGCCAAGGAGCTGAATGACGCATGAGCAGGAGCAATATGGCAGTGGGCTATAGACAGCTCTATTTACTTCTTCTCCACAGAAGCTGGGGGGACTATGGGAAGGCCGGAAAATACAAGTCATTTGGAAATATTACAAAGCACAGAAAAGAAATGAAGACACGGAGTGATTCAGCCAATTGTAAGTAGTGAAACTGCTCTGCCAGGCGCTAGGGGATTTGGCCTCCTGCTGCAAGCAGACTCAAACTGCAGAAATTCCCATGAGGTGTTCCTCAGCTCCTAAACTATACAATTGCAGACAAAGACTAGACCAGAATCTGACCTTATGATTACCCAGTTACCCAGCACACTGGATTGAGATGCAGCAGCGTATCACACACAGCTTACCAAATCGATTGTTTTTGCCCTTTTCTTAGAAGCATCGTCACACCACGTTTCACACCACAGCCATTCTTGAGGGAGTGATTTAATTGGCACCTGATGAATCATGTTATTGGGCAAATCCTGTTTGATAAAGAAAACAAAATAGGGAACCAGCAGTTAGCGTAATGGCTATGTCGCTGGACTCCCACGTAGTCGACCGTGGTTCGCGTCTCGGACCCGGTGGCTTAAATCTCACGCCGGGCGTGTGTGTGTGCGTGCCCAAGATCTCGAGAGGAGAATGGAGGAGAAGGGATTGCGGCGTGACCATCCCCCCTGGGGGGTGATTTCTTGCTTTCTGTCTCTAATGTCTCTCTCTGTCTGGCGAGCGCACGCGCCCTATAGTGAAAACCTCTCAAAAAAAAAAAAAAAAAAAAAAAAAAAAAACACACAAAACTGAAGTTCTGGGAAAATTTTAAATATATGCATGGTAAACCAGTGATGTTAGCTGCTCGATACCTATCACATGCCAATTATAACATGTTCACAACTGAAAGTGTCCATACCAAAAGCCTTAGAAAAGTTTAAATTTACTTCATAATATTTTTCAAAACATCAAAATGTGGGATCCATAAAACATCTATCCACAATAAGCAACAGAAAAACATTAGCTTAAAACTCAAAAATAGCCTGTGCCTGCCTAGACCTCCCTT